CTAGCAGGAGGTTGGGATAAAAAAAACCCTTAGTACTGGGGTATGGTCATGGAGTGGTTTTAAGACTCTTCATCGGTACACACTTAACTTACATACTTGTGTGGTCAAGCACGGGCTTGACTCTGAGAAACAGGCTAAGTTAACAAACTTAGACAATGTCATACCTCAGCGTGCTCCCTTGTACGATGGGGTTGATGACACCTACGTGGCAGGTTTGCAGCAATAGGCACAACAAGGCTAAGAAAAATCACTAATGGAGGACCCTGAACTCAAAGGCAGGTAGTCTGGTGTCAGCCCACAGCCTTCCCCACCCAGGCCCTGCCCAGGATCGGGAGTGGCCAGGGGCGCGTAGGTAGGAGTTCTGGGAGGGATCAGTGCGAGCTTGGCTCCCGACTATCCCCAGTGCCTAGAACTGCCTGGTGCAGAACCAGTACCCTCTAAGCCTTGGGTGAGTGAGGGAAAAATGAAGCATCTTACTGTGTGCATCTGGGCTTGGTGGGGGGACAGACCTCAGTAAGTGGCTTCCCCGCCCCCCCCACTTTCCAAATCTCATATGCACAGCATCTTTCTGTTTATCACAAATTAAAGTTTTCTCACTTTTTGGAGTTTGCATGAGCACTGGCCCCTTCTCTCTGGATGGGAAAAGGCGGCTGCTACCTTTTAAAACCTTACAACACTCTACACAGGTTCCATTAGGCCGGGAGAATCCTACCCAAGTAAACAGAGACTGTAATCATTTGGATTCGATGAGCTAATGGAGAAGACTGAAGGTTAACTCAGGTAAGAGCTGGAGGGGGCCCATGGCTGTACTGCCGTGGGTGGTATGACTTCAGGCAAGTCCACGTGTGCAGAGGGCAGCTCAGCCTCCCCCTCTAGCTTCACTAGATGGTTTCCTACTGTAGGTGACATTATAGCATGTGTCGGTGTCAAGAAGGCCACTGCTCTAAACCCTCAGCCCTCAGGGCAGCTGGAGCCCCTAGGTGTTTGTCCCCAGGGGCACGCAGCCAGGGGTGTGCTGATCAATATTTGACCACTGGTTGGGGGTGAGGTTCAGGGAGAGAGGAGCAGTAAGTCAAGGTGCCAGGTGCAGCATTTGCTGATTTCCATGGCATAAATATTCGCGCCACGGCGGATCCCAAGCCACCAATGTGCTGTCACTGAACCCAGAGTTGGAAAGACACGCACAGTAGCACACCGTGACACAGCACTGCCATCACATACATACGATGGATGGATATCACCTCGAGAGCATAGGTAACGGTCGTATGGTCTAATTATCAGCCTGTGGTGAGTTTTGAGAATTTATTACCTTTATTTTTAACATGAGTCATGTAATTATAAGTTCATATAATTCAGCATTTAATAACGGCTCACAAAATCCCCGGAAATGTCACCATCAGCTCCCCCATACAGCGGGCACACGGCAACATGAGCCCAGGTGAAGGTGAACCTGTGCGGCTGGGCCGGGGAGGCCTGGGTCCCAGCCCTATGTCCACCGGCAGCTGTTGTGGCCTCTGAGCTGGCCACAGGGAGACGTCGCGGGACCTTCCCCAGCACTTGAAAAGATCACTTGAAGATAAGGCCTTTGGGTTCAAATTCCATTCACTTCCACAATTATCAACATTACTTGTGTCCACGAGAGAAACAAAATGGGCTGCTAGACTATCATTTCAGCTCTTCGAAATTTTTCAGTTAAAAAAGGTTGAATATCACCTCCTGTCAACTACTTTTCTCATGGGTGACAGTCAAAAGCTAGAAGAGAATTAGTGAACATTCATGATCGAGAATTGTGTGTAATAATTTCACTTATTTTTTTTAAATGTTTATTTTTGAGAGAGACAGAGAACACGAGCGGGAGAGGGGCAGAGAGAGTAGGAGTCACAGAATCCAAAGCAGGCTCCAGGCTCCATGCTATCAGCACAGAGCCCTACACGGGGCTCAAATCCATGAACTACCAGATTGTGACCTGAGCCGACGTTGGACGCTCAACCGAGTCACCCAGATGCCCTGTGTGTAATAATTTAAAACCTAATATCTAATATTTTAAAAAAATGTTCCTGGAAGCCAGACGAAGTTTCTTATGAAAACATCTGAAGAGGTTTTGGGGGTAAACGGCATACAAATTCAGTATTTAGTGTCATAATTACTTTACCTTTCTCCTATTGATAATAAACATTATCTCCTTCACTAAGCCCTGGGTAGAGGTGGCCCGTCCCTGCATTGCACCCAGCATGCTGTACGTGTGTTCTTTGGCTTGTGTGACATGACATGAGGCGAGCTGTGCGGGGGCCCCCCGTCTTCCCCACACAACAGAACATTCTCAGAACCTGTG